AGGCAGGTGATTTCCACCAAAGTGAACTGGAGCAATATTACTTCAAAGCTATCAACTAAGAAGGCAGTTTTTGAGTTAAAGTATGGATATTCACTGTAAGGAAATAAGAGCACATACATTTGAAGTCTTTAAAAAGATGAAAATTAAAAGAAAACCATTATTTTCTCAAATTCCCCAGGTGTAGGGAAGACAATCTAGCGGTGCAGGGTGGCTGTCAGCTGTGTACTCTAGATTGGCTCTTTAATTTCAGCAGGCAAAACTCTACAATGGTAAGAGAAGCCATTAAAAGTCCAAGAAGATTTTTAAAAATTTATTTAAAGACAGCTAGGAAGAAAGCTTGGGGGAGAAGAGGATATTCACATCGCATTGGATCAATTTTCTATCTGCAGGACTAAACTACTCTCAGTCATTACCAGCCTGGGATGGGAAGGATTTAGCAACATAGCTATTAAAGGCTCCATTATCCCATCTATCAGTCCTCTCAGCCAGCAAGTCTCCTTGTGGGCAGTACTCAAGTGTCTGCAAAGTTTGAACAGCATACTATACTTATGTCTGCAGCCTGCAATTTAATTCTTTTAAAAGCAACACTAAGTCCTGTCCCTTTCTAAGCTCTGTGATAATAACCCTAACCTTGGCTACTGTTCCATTAACTTAGGAAAGATTTAAAGCAACTTGCTGCTTTACTTACGTTGCACCTGGCACTACGTGGGGAAGAAGGTTTTTTTTTTTTTCGTTTTTTTTTCTTTTCTTCTTTTTTCTTCTGATTCTTCTCTTACTCACCTTGGGAGAGAATTCAGTTCATTTATGAAGCTAAGGAAATTTTCTGGGCCTCTGCTCCTCTAAAGACCTTTTGTGCCACAAAACAGCTCCCTCAGGCCCAAACATCATTTTGAACAAAAGCCCAGAAACAGGTGCATATTCCATAGAGTTTAGAGAGAACATTTTGAAAATGGTTGAATCGAAAAGAGCTCCTCGGATGAATTTTCTGCAGTATCTCTCTCTGTATATTAAGTAATTGGCTTGGATATTTTTCTGTATGACACATCTGGTTGCACTTTGTGTGTGGGCATTTCTAACAAGCATGGCAAATTCAACTAATATGGTTTAAGCTGTACACAGTTTGAAGATGAGCATGTGGTTCCTTAAAACTAAAATGATTCTCACTCTTTCCAAACATAGTGACCTGTCAAGGTCAAAACAAATACGGGAAAGAAAAAAGACTCCAAGATACTCAAAGCTCAGTTTGTAAAACATATAATAAATACCATATACTAAGCTGCATTTTGAATAAACAAGTACCTCCTATTAGAGTAGCAATGAGAATTGGTATGAAAATTAATACACTAAGTAGAATTATAGTCACTTGAAGTTCATTTATATGACAAGTAAAATGGAGAGTATACTACAAAATCCCAATTGTTTGAAAATAAAATGAATAAATAAAAAGAAAGGCCAACTTCTGACCCCACAATTTAGGAAATTATTCCATTCCTAAAGTAATCAGCCTGTCATCCAAATAACTGCCTTCTCATTAACTACAGGAAGTGATAACTACAAGCCAAATTGCCTGTTTAAAGTTGCTATTGCATTTTGCTATACAATAATTTGGCTCATGACTTTCAACAGTGGCATTTCTAAACCCATAAAATTTTGTCAAACATTTTTCTTAATATGATTGTTCATATTAAGTAGATAAGATAGAAACATATTTACAGTCTTCATTCAAACAAATAAAGGAATCAAAATGAATATCAAATCTTTTCCACCTCTCCCAGTGAAAAACATCTAGAGTTAAGAGTAGGAAATTCTTTTTTAGCCTAAAACAAACTTGGAGGTGAAGCATTTGGATACAATGTCACCAACCAGAAATAAATCCAATTCATCTTGGTTCCCAAACAGACCTTTCTCTATTTCTCAAAGTTATCCATTTAAAATGTATCCCAACAAGCCCAAGTGCCCATCAGCAGATGAATGGATAGAAAAACTGTGGTACATTTGCACAATGGAATACTACCCAGTGGTAAAAAAGAAGGAACTCTTACCATTTGCATGGATGGACATGGAGAGTATTAGGCTAAGCAAGATAAGTCAGAGAAAGATAAGTACCATGTGATTTCATTCATATATGGAATCTAATGAACAACATAAACTGATAAATAAAATAGATCTAGAGACATGAACCATGAACAGATGAATTTCAGAGAGAAGGTGGGGGGCAGGGAGGGCTGGAGGGGAGAAATTAACAGGATACTTAAGTGCAAACATGCATGGCCCACAGACATAGAAGATAGGTTGGCAAAGGCTTGGGAGGAGTGGTGCAGAGTGACGGCATCAAAGGGGGAAAAGAATCACAAAGCAGACATCTGTAATACTTTCAACTATAAAGATAGATTTTTAAAAATAAAGTAATTGTTCATATATATGTATAAAGATAAAACAGCTGAAGAAAGAAAAAAATACATTCTAAATTCGAAGAGGTGTTATTTCAGGTCTCCCGAACCACCCACAACTGATTGCTCTGTGCTTAAAAGTCTGTGCATAACCTTATCACAAATTGAACTAAAAGTTCTAAAGGCATTCTTTTTTCTCATCTTTCTGTTTCAGCACCAAACACAATGACTAGAACAAGTTGTCCTGTACTCATTCTCTTTTCAAATATACACAGTTAAAGATGTCTTTGAGAAAATATTCACAGGTAAGGATGTTTACCAAATATCACAAAAGAACACTGCTTTAAGAAACCTAGTAAAAGTAGATTGAGTCAATTATGCCAAACTACATAAGTAGATTAAAAAATTCTATATTGTTACATGAAAATGACTCAATTTACTTGATCATCTAGAAAAATAAACTATTATATATAAACTTTATTTAAAATTCCACTAATAGTAATCTTGTTGCAGAGAATAACTAGAGATTTTCTTAGATATTAAATCTGCTGGACTTTTCCCATAACATCCCAAAGTTGGGTTAGGATTGATTTCAGGAGTTTTTACTAGTGGATGCTGGCCTCATATTGACAATTGCCTGTTCTAAGGCTCCATATTCCGCACCTGAATTACACCAAAGTCCTTCACACTAGTAATGGTGTTCTCACTGTTTGGTCTTCTCCTTGCATTCACAAAATTCATCTTCCACCAACTCCAATTTGATCAGTAAATCCCATGATAAAAAACCTTTTTAGCTCTCTGGCCTTGTGTAAGAGCATATTGAGGGTGCTGGATTTTAGGACAAATGAGAGATGATAGAAATTCTACAGCAGTGCTTCTCAAAGTTAAACATGTTTCAGAAGGACTTGGAGGGCTTATTAAAATACAGATTGCTGGGCCTCACTCATAGAGGTACAGATCTAGTAGATCTGAGGCAGAATAAGAAGGTATATTTCTAACAAGCTCCCACATCAGGAAAGGTGATGGTCTGTGGACCACACTTGGAGAAGCTCTACTTTCATCTTCTTTATTTTACATGCTCAGTTTCCTCTTACGTATTCATTCAAACAAAGGGTTTATTTAATAACAAACACCCAGTCACCTACTTTAACTCTCTGAGTCTACAAATAAGAAAACTGGTGCCTGGAGAACCAGATCACCTGGTTAGTGGGAGAGTGTTCTGTCCATCATCTTCAAACCTTCAATCTCACATTAAAGGCTCCCAATATATTTCTACTTTTCTTTCTTCTTTTCTATATCACCAATCTCTCAGTTCTGTGTTAGCTGGGAATTTTTTTTTCTATCCTTCCCCAAACAAAACAGATTTTTTTTTTTTCACTTCAAGTCTTTCCTACCGCCATTCTTCTTTCTGCCCCCCCCCGCAAAAAAAAAAATATTTTACTGTAATTATATTCCCAACACTTTGAATTGAACTCATTAACTTTTTTGACCCTACTATCTACATTAGGAACTCACACGCATGGATGGCACATCTTGGACCTCAACATCACATAGAATTGGGCCACCTCCAAGATTCTAAACTCCCAATAATGGATTATCTTGATAACAGTCTCCTAGGTTTTATGATCCCTTGCCTCTGTCCTCTCTTGCTTTATCCTAGGCAATCAAGGTAATCCTTCCTTGAGCAGTACTTACCACCCTACTCAGACTGGATGGCGCTTCACCTGCATCCTCACCAGGGTTCCAGAGTGATTGTCTAGACTTTCTGCCAAGTCTATCTTGCCAATCTCCTTCACAGAATTCCTAGTCCTCTAAGCATTGTTGGTTATGGTCACATTACTATGTTGATGGAACCTTAATAATACCCTAAGTTAGGTTTATTTGCCTCAAGCAGACAATTTATTCATCCTCAAAGGACTCTTCCTCAAGCTTCCAAAGATATTCCTAAACATTCCCATCATCTTGAACCCCCAAGTCTGCTTTAATACCTCCCATTCCCATAATCTTTAAGGCAAAAAACAAGATGGAAGCCCAAGACTGAAGAGTGTTTATTAGCATGCCACACTGTGCCTGTAGGCACTGAGAAGCCATTGAAAGTTTTACTTTAGAAAGATCACTCTAGCGGTCATGTGGAGGATGAATTGAACAGGGTAGAAGCAGATAAATGAGAGGGATTCAGCAATTACACAAAGAGGCTGTGGAAGAATAAAGAAATAAGAATGACTAAACACTGTACTTTCATATAGTAAGTACACTACAGTCATGCGTAGTTGAGCTAATTTATTCTGACTGATTCTGAGGAAAATATATATATAGAAAAACATTTACTGAACTTAAAAAATGTATAATTGAGACCAAGAATAGTTTTGTTATGCCTTGTCATAAGGCAAATGAAAGCTATTGTGCAATAGACAGATGGTGCAACGAGATGTAAAATGAAATTAGCAATGATGAAACCCACATGGAAATGAGGAGAAGTTGATATGTTAAAAGTCAAAGGAATTTGGCTCCATATTGTCTCGCTTCATAAAAGACTGAGGTCATAGTTTAGTGGCTGTTGTTGCAGAAAGTTGCAGGACTATCCATTGTGTCAAAGAACCAAATACTCACCCAGGGTTGTTCGAAGCTGTAAGTGCGTCGCCGATCTTCTACATCTTCATCCTGCTTTGCTTGCTGGAACTCCTGCCGTAGACGCTGTATCCGATCATGGTTGTTAGTAGATGACCTGTTGCTAAAAGAGAGAATGGGCAACAATGAACACCCTTCACAAATACAATCTGTGCCTTGCAGCTACTAGGGAAAGGGGCATCTTGCTGGCAGATGACACTATTTAAAAGAAAGTGAATTTTAAAAACAGTATCTGGGCATTTGAAATATGTTCTCATTTTAATTAAGACTTATTAAAGTTATTTCAGACAAATATTCAAGAGGGAGAGTAGTATTTTTAGCAGTATTTTAGTAGTATTTTTAGTAAAAGCCTAATTTTCTTTCTGTAATTTGGCAAGGTATCCACAGAAAAACTTTTTGGGAAAATATTGCTTTAAAAGTCAGAAATATCAGGATTCAGTACTAGCCCCATCACCTTCTTAGACTAAGTTTCTTTAAATATATGAAATGAACATAATAACCATGCTTTGCTCTAAATATCATGCTGTTAACAATCAAGTAAGATAATACCACACAATATAGTCTTACAGTATTATATCATAATATTATATAAAGTTCCTACCTATGCATTATCAGAGGTCTATGCATAAAATGCAACTCTCAGAGCATAAATGAAAAGCATTTTTAAAAATAACTTCAGGTGCTAGCTTGATGTAATCAGCTAGTTCATAATGATGTTGCCTTCTTTTTTTTTTCTTGCATTGAATTTGACTATATTCTCACAAATGCTTATAACATAGGCTCAGAAGGCAGTATTACACCCCTACACATACAGCAATGTAAAAACTATCATTCAAAGAAGACAAGTGACTTTTTAAAAGCCTCCCATCTGCCGAAAGTAAGACAAGAATCCAGATTTTTCTGGGTTCTAGAGTCCAGTCCCCATCACACTATACCATGTGTCAGTTAATAAAACACATATTATATTCTAAAACCCCCCTTTACAAAATCATACAGATTTTAAAACAGTATTTTGAAAGAGTAATAGAGATGACCAAATGTAAATCAATCTCAAACCTCCCACCACTTTTGGTTCATCCCATTCCCTAAGCAGTAAGTTGCATCCTATCAGAAAAGCTATTCAAGCACACTAGGAATATACTGTCTCCCCAAGAAGACTTCAGATCACGTCTTATATTTATCACATTTACCCTTTAAACTGCTAGCAGAATGGTAAGCAGTAAGTTATTAGGAAGATGAAGTCTCTTCATTGAAAACAGATTGCCCTGGATACTCAGTGTGCTGCTGAGTTCCTTTGGCTGCACACACTCCTGAGTGATGGAATTTATGAAGTAGCTTGGAAAAATAAAAGTCTGCTATGGTAGACTATATACAATTCTCAAACCAACATGTCTTTGTATAATTCCACATATTTTGAAGAACTGCTAAGGCTTAAAAATCTGAAATTAAAAATGCTCACGTATAGGACCAAAGTCTTAATATCTTCCATGAATGCGGGATAGTCTGTCATCATTTAATCTACTGGGTTGGTCCCTATCATCATTATGTTTTTATCAATTTCAATAGAGATTCTCTAATATCTTGCTAATATACTCAATTTGATTATTTTTCCAGTCAATAAAAGGTTGTTTTTCTTCTGACAAATCTTTTGAATTGATTAGCCTGAGAACATTAAAGGTGAATGGGTCTCTAAAATGTGCTACTTGACAACATGAGGCTTCAGCCCATATTTATGTACAGCTTTAAAACTTGACCTTCACACTCTTGAGCCAGGCAGGTTACTTTTCCTTTGGCTTTTAAAACATTTGTTTGAACAGATAAATTATCAGTACTGGCTTCCCAATGCGATACCGAGTTTCTCTCCATGAAACTGTGATGGCGTAGGCATGAGAAGTGTTACACTACAAAGAGATAGAAGAGTAAACATTCATTAATCTCATTGCCATCTTTCCAGCTGTACTTTTTTATGTTCTGGGCATACTTCATAACATTTATAGCAGAATTGTAGGAGGCTTGACCAACAAATACCACTACAAACATGTTTCTATAATATTATTTTCATGTATCGATAGCACAGACAGCTTTAATCCAATAATTACTAGGTTCATGAAGTCCAAGCCATTGATGAAAACTGACTTCTAACTATTTGTGAATAATTGAAAGCATATCTCCCAACAGGAATTGACCTAGTATTCTTCATTTGAAATTTTGGCAACTTCAGTGTTTTTCACAGTATTAGAAGAGTTTTGGAAGTCACTTCACCCTTATTTCCAAATCTGAGCAGTTAGTGAGACCACTGTTGCACATTCTTTTCCTTTCTCCTATGCTAGAGAATGCCAACCAACTTGCCTAACACTAGGAAAGCCCCTCCAAGGGTTGAAATTGGAAAGCAGCCTGCAATGGTTTTCATGATTGATGAGGACTTCCAAAGGCTGGAAGGCCATTCAGCATCCTTGGGGAATAACATTGGCATCTGAAGGTAAAATCCTGGCTTCAAGAGATGAAACCATTGCAGCTGCTCAGTTCTGTTTCTCAGGCTCATCTATAATGATTCAATAATTCTTACTTAGACTTCTAATATTCTTGGTTAGCTCTTCTGCCAAGAAAGCCAAAGGAAATTTTAAATTTTCATTAGCACTGATGGCTACCCACCCCAACCAACTTATATTTGGATTCACTGACAACTTAAAATTGCTCATTATATTTTTGAGAAGACTAGAATAAATATACCACCTGAATCAATCTGATGGGTGAGTAAGACAATAAGAGTCAATGAGAAGTCAGTAAATTTTATATATATATATGTAATAGTCTAATATGCAAATTGTTCCCTCAGGAGTTGGACCGGGAGAGGAGAGTTTGATTGCTCATTCTGATGTGTGCTGACCACCAGGGGGCAGCACAAAATGAAGGAAGGCCCTGCCAAGTAGCCAGGGAAGGGAGGCCCCGCCAGGCAGCTGGAAGGCCCCAATCGGCCCTGATCACCAGCCAGGCCTAAGGAATCTTACCCGTGTACAAATTTTGTGCACCAGGCCTCTAGTAATTTTTTAATAATAGTTAACAGAAAGAAGTGGTGAGGACAATAAGACAGTAGAGTCCAATACTAACACTTAGCCTCTCCATATAATTGGTACTTATAGCCTAAATAAAATTTAATTTTACACACACACACACACACACACACACACACACACGTCCCAAAAATGCATACATACTTTAACAGCTGATAGCTCAATTTTGAAAATGAAATGTCTTTTAAGTAACACTGCTTTTATAATTATTCAAAATGTGTATGCATTTTTGGGGACACCCTATATGTTAGCTAAGTAAAGAGGGTTGGTTTTAGTTGATAATAGTCTGAGTTAAGAAAGGGTACACTGGATCACACACTATGGAGATTCCTAACCTGGCATGCATGTCAACACCGTGAAATATATGGAACTCTAATCTTTCCCATCTATAACTGCCAGGGGATGTGTCCTCTCCAGTCAGAGGCAGACCGCACAGTATACTAGGCTTTAGAACCTTCAGATTGGCCTATGCAATGTGCTTCACAAAAGGGGCTGAACAATTCCTGCCAGCTGCAGCCATGGTACCTGTCCTGTACCTGTGCTCCACAGATGACAAGCCAACCATCTCCTTACGAAGAGTGAATGGGGAAAAATTTATGGCAATGGTCCTCATGTTCACACATTATATGAGAGCCGTTCCGAGGGCTAGTTAAAAAATGCCGACTCACTGAGATTGCCCTGGATATTTTCCAACTCAGTAAGTCCTGTGCAGGGCCAGGAATCTGCATATATTCAAAAGCACTGGAGGTGCCATGTGGTGAATTTTTTGAAAACAATGCCCACAGGCTTCAGAGTCGGGACAAATTCCAGTGCTTGCGGGTCATTAACTGAAGAGTGAAGGACACCCCCCTGGAAGCACAGCGTGTATTCTGTGACAAATGGGAGTAATAAGCTTGGTCTAGAAGGGAGGCTCTTACTTGGTTCTAGTAAGTTGTTGCCTTGAAGGTCTGATGATGGCTTTGCTTCTAATTTTTTTTTTTTTAAAGTCAGAACTACAGTTTTTGCCCAAAATTTTAAATGTTGGCTTTTTTAAAGATGCTAGATGAGCCCCCTCCCCAGAAATGTCTGTTGTGTAGTATCTTGCAACTTCTACTTTTTATTCTGCAGCTGCTGCTGACTTTATAGTTGCTTTTCTAGGCAATTTACTTTTACTGCATCAAGACAAGGCCAGTGGTCCCCTGGTCCCAGTCCCAGAAAGCAAATGCTAAAACAATGGGCATTGTACAGATAGTCTTGCCTCTTGTGAAGTGTCTGCTCCCTCTTATCTGTCAAACCCTGATTACACTGGCTGCCCTGCAGGCTTGAGTTCTGGCCTATCTTTACAGACCTGCATGTGCTGAGAAAGAAGTTTGTGATGTGACTGATTCGTTATGGAGTAAGAGCACATTCAAATTTACATTTTTAATTAGGCAAAGGAAATGTGAAAAATTGGACTAAAGGGCACAGCTTTAAGATTCAGAATTTAATAGAAGGGAAAACAACCACGCAGTTTTTTAAAAAGGGAGGTACCATCGTAGTATACATTCTCCTTCCCATGGAAGAAAAAAAGGGGGAGGGAAACAGAGGGAGGAAATAAATCTTGGCAGGCTACCCATGGTCCTCATAGGGGGAGATAATTATAATCTCTATCATAAAAGAAGATAAATTACCAATGAAAAGGGTAAGATAAATTTGCTCATCTCTTGCTGAAATAACCTCCACCTTTCTTTTCATTTTTATAATTCTACCAGTAAATCTAAGAAATCAAATTCCACTTCCTTGAAGCCTTTCCTAACTACTCCATCCCATGTTCACCTGTTTTCAATTCTTCAATAATAAGTATCCTCTGACCCAACAGTGTTTTTACAATAGAACTTACATGTATATTTCTTTCTTAAATTTATACCTTTATCACAACCACTTAGCATATATAAATATATATATATTGTATGCTACATTCTTGTGGCAGGAAAAAGTGTTCAGCAAAAGCACTGGAGGTGCCATGTGGTGAATTTTTTTAAAACAATGCCCACAGGCTTCAGAGTCGGGACAA